TGGAAAAAATCGAGAAATATTTTTTATCACAAAAAAGGCAATAAGGGCGAAACGAATGATTCACATTTACATCCACTAATATTTGCTAACTCTCCACAAAAGTTTTTACTAACTGACTAACAGAATTGTTCGGTGAGCAGCAACCGGGAGAGCAAAGTGGATTTCGAAATAGTTATAGCATGATGGACAAAATTTTCGCTCCAAACTAGCTGCTAGAATGCGCAAGAAGTGTAACAGCTCCCTCAATATCTTCGATTCGTCGATTACGAAAATGCATTCGAGAATTAGAGTTGAACGCTCTGCTGCGAGATTTTGCAGATGGAGTGGATGATGGGATCTCTCTTGACGATTTCTGTGAAGCAAACATAGGCTACTTGACAGATGTGACATTTTCTCCACTCCGTATACCGACCTAGTAAGACGTGAGACTAGGCGTTCCTGAATCACCCGAGCTTTTTACAACTTGTTTTGAGATGATATTTCTTAATCCGGAGTGGAAAATTGGTCTGGAATTTAATCGCGAGCACCTAAATCACCCTCGCTTTATGGATTACGTAATTCATAATGCTGCCAGTGCTTATAAGATGAATGAGATGCTATAGGAGTTAAAGAGGTGATTCTCAAAACTAACATATCGAAGACGAAGGTGATGACAAGTGTCGGTATACCTGCAACGAAATTTGAGATCGACAGTTTTGACTTGAAGGAACCTGACAGCTACGTCTACTTTGGTGGACGGATATGTGCGCCACAATCACTAACCGAAGATAGCACTTAGAAAGCCTCTTTTGATACAAATTTCACGGCAGTTACAAAAACTCGGTTCGTTTCGTCTCGGTTTGGCCGGTACTCTGAAAGCGTCCTGGCATCTCTGCCAACGCTATTTCGCGGCGCTGCTCGCTGGCACAGCTTGTCATTTTGCTAAGAACGTGGGTAGCGTTGCTCAACCTTTGGCAGCTGGATCACATGGTGGGGGATCGTGTGTAAGGGGTTTAGCGTGGTTGGTGGGGGAGGGGATGCTGGTTGTAAGTGCCCAGGTACAGCTTAGGGAGCAAGGGTTGGCGACAAGATAGAGGAGGGGAACGAAGGTGCTTGTCGGGGTTTGAGGACGATAAATGGTGACAGTGGTTGGGGGCTGGAGGATGATGGGTACCCCGATGCAGCTCTGAAGGCAGAAACTGGGGACGGGATGGAGGAAGGGAACAAGGGTATTAGTCATGAGTTCGAGGCAAGAACAACAGACAACAGTAAAGAGAAAAAGAAGCTAACGCAGCATTGCAAAGGAAAATAAGTTAAGAGGAACTTGAATTTATAAACTTAGTCGAAGGCGTACTGGCTGCCGGTACGAGGATGCGCTTTTTGCACAGTCCCCTCGCAGGTTTTTTTCACCAGTGGCACGCTCTTCCCGGCAGATGCTTCTAGTTAAAAGAATTGGGATCGGCCACCACGACGGTTAGAAATTATTGTAATGACTCCTAATCCGTGCCCAAAAAATTCTGCGCTCTGGATGCTTCGGTTGCGGAGTTACGTCAAATTTCGCGTGTTCATACGTTAGTGGTAACGTGAATGCTTTCTTCGCCTGCGGTTGGTCAAATACGGTCTTGGGTAAAAGTTTCAACACTCCAGCTGCTCTAATTGCAGAGTTACGTTAAATTTCACTTGTTCGTACGTGATTGGCAACTTGAGTGCTTTCTTCGCCCGCAGTTGCTCAAACATATTCCTGGGTAATGCTTAAAAAGTTTCAGCACTCCAGCCACTCTGGTTGCGGAGTTACGTCAAATTTAATGTGCGTTCGCGTGAAGCGTACGTGAGACGTGAAAGTGATGTGTAAGTCGTTTTTGCGTGTATTTGGTTAAAGGTTACCGTCAGTTATGCTCAGAAAGTCCATCTGGCTGGTTCAATTCTGAAGTTAAAAAAGCGTTTGCGTGAGATTTTCTCGTGTTCGTGCGTGAGATGTAGGAGAGCTGACAAGTGATTTGTTTTTACGGCATAACGATGGGCGACAAGCAACGCTGCAAAATTGCGCTCTTTGCAGGTTATTGGTCAGCTTAAATCTGGAGCTGACACGATGCCAGTTTAAACCTTGAAGCGTGCGTACGTGAGACCTGGAGGTGCGTGAGGACTGAATTTGAAATCTTTGAATTAGAAGCGGCCAAGGAACATCTCTGTAAGTTCCAGCCTCCTAGCTTGAGTCGTTCCCGAAAACGCTTTCTCGCCAAGGAAACTTTCACGTGCCCGTGAGAATCACGCGGACCTGGACGTCCGTTTTGAGGGTACGAGCCCGCACGTACGTGTGGATTAATTCAAATTTTTAGCCTTGTAGCTTTTGTGGACCTCAAAATGAAAACTCGTTAGAGACGCACAGACAGACAGACAGACACACACACACATACACACAGACAATCCATCGACAGTTTGCGTTTTTGCATTGCATAGCTGCAAAAAACGCATAATAAAAGGGAAAAAAGCGCAATCAAAGAACCGGGACCTGTGAATAAAAACAAAATAAGTAGCTGCGCGCACCAGAATAGCCGGTGCTATCATGCGTTTTGTGCAATTCTGCCCATCGAACTATTGTTCGTTAATGATTTTCATTGCTTTTTACTTTAGTCTGTGCAGAAATAGTTGAAACGCTGAAAAATAGTTAAAAATTTCACGGTCAGGCGCGTAAAAGCTGAATTTGCAAACTCGAAGGGTGAATATCCTTTACAAATTTCAATCTCCTAACTTTCTGGCTTTTGAAAGATCTTTGGGACAAAACATTCAGGTAGTCGTACCTGAGACCTCGGCATAATTAGGGACTGAATTCGAGCTTGTGAAGCCTTGCTTAGACAGGAAACATTCTCTTGAAATTTTCAATCTGTTAGCATTTCTGGCTGCCGAGATAATGATTTTTCTCGCCAAAGGGAACGTTGAAAATTTGCGGAATTTCACGTGGGCAGAGGATGCCACGCTAAAATTTCAGATTCCTAGATTTCGTGGTTCTCGAGATATTAATTTATTCTCAAAAATTTTCACGGGGCCGAATATGTTACTCGCGGGCAAGGGAAAGATGAATTTAAATTTTCTGGGTAGCACATGGGCGGGAGACATGCCCATAGAGTTTCAGCCTTATATATTCCGTAATCCCCGTG